AGCAGGAAGGGCCAAGCCTGCCCGTGGCAAGCTAAATACAAATTTGAATTAGGAAGACATGAAATGACTGAACAAATGGACTTTGTACATCTCTTTTGCCTACAACTTATCAGAGTAACATAAATAATACAGCTGTCACACTACACTACAACCAAAACAATTCACAAGTCAACCATTTCAAATCAAAGTTTGAATTATAAGTGCTCCACTTTTGAAACATAAAATAAAGGACACCATTGTAGACCATGACAGTTTAACTGAGAACAAAGTGATCTTTCAGAAGGTCAAGCAAACACAAACTGCTAAAAATTGCTCAGAATTACAGAGTTTTATAATGTTTAAGAAAAAAGAACAAGTCAACCAGATCTTCAGATATTATTGAAGCAAACTCTGCTTGACACTCATGATTTTCTTCAGCATAAAAAAAACACATTGTTCCTTTTAAAGAGAGGGCAAGTGAGGGAAAAACTCTTGGTGGGGAAGATGGGGAAGACTACAGTAACACGTGGAGGAATCCATGCTTCACACAGGTATATTAACATTGCCTCCTTGCCCAGGTTTCTTCTGCACAGGAACCAGGGCAGGAGGAAGGAGGTTCGTGCACATTCAGGTTAAATCCCAACACAGAATCGAAATACAGCTGGGGGGTACAAACCAAGACCAAGACTGGAAACTATCTCCATGCTCCACAGCATAGTCCCAGCTTTAGAGTTTACTATATATGTAGGTAATGCATTCTGCTAAGGATCTGGGTACTTAGACTATTTTAGGTATAAACATTGAATGCAGGGCTAGAACTACACACGTGAGAAGTACTACTTTATGCATCACGTTCTAATTATAACTTTAGCTATCTTCTGTATAGAAAAAAAAAGGAAGCAAGAGAAAGTGCTGATTTAATACGGGCCTATATCATGACAGTTAAAACCAAAGCACTGGAAATTTCATCCTGTCTTTTTGTGAGTATGTGTATGCTTTGTTTTGTTTTGTTTTTTTAAAGAGAAGGGAAGTCGCTCCAATCTGAATGCAACCTTAACATCTAAGGGAGGAGAAGATGAACACTGAATCATGACTGCAGACTGGCAGTAAAAACAATCTCTGTCAAGTATGGTAGGTGCTTTCAGACTGCCAACGTTTTGCACAGGGAGTCAGGGAGATTGTGAAAACCATGTAGGAATATATGCATTCCTGTCACAATCACAAAGAAGCAGAAATTTGTGATAACCTGGAGTGGAGCAGGGTGACAATTTCCCATTCTCCCCATAGTAAATCTGCACCTGAGTCAGATTGTAAAGCCATTATAGACTAAGAGACCCCAAATACTCCTCTTGAATCTATTTAGTCACTATGTAAGATTTGAGGGAAAAGAAAAAAGTGCAGTAGCCACAGAATCCCAGTTTGAGACACATATCAGGATTTTCCGTAAGCGTGGTTCATTCTGGTGCATATGAACAGACACGTCTGAAAATACTGTGTGTAGCCAATGTCAGTTTAAAACTGAACTGAAGGCATAGAAAATTACTAGGTAAATACCTAATAATCCAAGTCTTGAAAAAATAGTTTGAAAAACTAGTTCACTCATCTCAACATGAGTTTTATCACGAATGTGTAGTGAATTCATAAAACTACAATATCAAGGGCAAGGAGTTGAGACAGTTGATCAACTTAAACAATACCATGCTCAAAATATAAAAGGTTAGAAATCTGACAGCTCTGTCTCATCATTCTCTCTTCCTTTCATAAGCTATTGAAATTTCTTTCTCCCAAGATGGAATTTCACAGTGGAATTCACCAATGTACAGCAAAAATGTACCACATACCTTGAAGTCACAGCTTCCATGAATTCATCAAGAAGATCATCATAGGCTTGACCTCTGACTCTCTTGTGTCTCAGCCCAATATACAAAGGATCTTTCAGCAATGCCTATTAAAAAAAAGTTTGAACTATTACATGAACAAGTTACACTACCACATTCTAAACTAAAAAGAAGAGGGGTATGGTGTTTGAGGATTAACCTAAGTATATGCAGGTACCTATCCATTTATCCACCTCTACATAAAGATTGAAGAGATGCAACAAAGAGATTAAAGAGACACATTTTGTATCAAGGGAAACAGATATCCTTGTATCAAAGGAAGCGTATTGTTCCCAAGCGAAGTAGTAAAAGTCTAGTCCAGGAAGTCAGGTTTCAAAAGTATATTTTAAAGCTTTAGTTAGTACTTTCCCTTTTTTCCTTTACATCCTCACGGTGCTCTGACACTTAAAAAAAAAACTATTTTCTTTACTTGTATCTTCATGTTTCAAAATTCTCTTCACAAAGAGCACTTAGCCCATCATTTCAACTGTTTATGACCTGATATTCACGAAACCCGTTCTCTCTCAAATTCAATACGGCAAAAAATAAATAAGCCCTTGTTCTCTTCCTTCCAGGCTATTTTTGTCAGTTCGGATTATAGCACTCTCCATTCCAGTTACCCATACCTGTCACATGGGTATGATTTCTGAACTTGTCTTTGCTTAAATCTTTCATTTTTTCTTCCTTCAGATTCATGATGCACACCTTCCTCTAGGTCCACCTAGGAACACCAGGTCTGTATATATTCCATGTCTTCATTACTGGAAAGTCTAATTTCAGTCTAATTTTTCCCAAAATATAGCTTATTAACCTAATAAATGTGTTCAGAATGTTTTGTAATCTCTTTTGACTACTCATGATAGCTATAACAATTCCCTGTCTGAACACTTTCACTGGCTCTCCCATGAATTCTCAACTAAAACATACTTTGGGATTATCTTTTATAGATCCCTAGTCTCATTCAAGCTAGGAATCTGAAATCCAGTCTCAGTATTTTAAAAAAGTTCCTAAACTTTCTTTACAAGTTTTCTGTGCTGTAGAACTGAAAAATCCTTTAGGTCACAAGTCACAGCTGAAGATTGATTTGAATCAGTAAGAAATTTGAACCTCTGAGGGTATACTGTATCCCCTGGGAGAATCCTAATGCAGGTTAGTGTGCAGGCCTTTAAAGATGTTTGTTTCTCCCTAGCTCTTCTCCTTCCTTCAATAAAAAATGAAAGATGCCAGATTAGAAACTCAAAAAAATCCAACATATAAATTTAAGCAGGATTAGAAGCTGATTTTTCTCAAATTGTTGCTAAATATGCCACCATTTCAAAACAAAATATTTTGAATATATTATTTATAGACATTCACAAGATATTTGTTGTTCATTCAACTGTTTGAACTGGAGAATAAACAAAGTTTAAAATTAAAATTAATTTGTTAAAAAGGATGCAATCATTACATTGTAGTTATTTTGTCCCTTCCTTCCCCTAATTCTATATAGCACTCACGTCTGAGGATCATATTCTTTGGCTGACATTTTACTTTTATATTCACTTTATTCTACGTATTCTAGCAGTAAAATTAAAATCATAATTATGTACCTATTCCAGACACTGCAGGAAATACTGGCAAGAGCTGGATGTCAGACACACTCTAAGTCATGTTGTCTTTTGTATACTCTTCTTTTTAACAATCATCATTTCCAGTTTTGTAGTGAAGAACTATCTCTAGAGTAATATTTTATTTCCATTTTGAGTTTGCCTAGTTATTTAAAATGAATTTGGGATAACTGGAAAAATAAAGGATAATTTTACTTCACTAGGAAACAAATCCACATGAATTGCAAACTGGCTGCTAAGTGGTCTGCAATCTGAAGTTTGGAAGCCCCATGGGAGCTGCATGGTGCTTCCCACCAGTCTGAACAAGCAGAGCTGCCAGGGGCAAGAGCCACCCTGCCACACACCTTTGTCAGGGCGAGCGCTGGCAAACGCAGAAACAGCAAGGAAAATCCTATTACCAGCAGCTTTCCTTTTTGGTAATCTTACACTACTCTGTGTCCCGTGCAAGCATATTGGACACTTAACAGTCCAATTCAGCGTTAAGTAATTTATCCCCTTCTCCAGCTCCCATAACTCTTCTTCCCCTGTCTCTAACAGGCAAATTGACTTGACATTTTAACAGACTTCAGCAGAATTTCCCTTAAACAATCAATCTGTGTTCTCATTTTGCAAAATAATGCCCAAAATGAAAAAGGAAAAAATCTTTGGTCCCTCTATTTTTTAAATTCTTAGGTCACATTTCAAAAAGGCATCACGGCCAGACTAAGCCATGCTGATTCCATCAAGAAGTCAGCTTCAGCTGGGCTATAATTCTGTGAAAATTCAAGAGAAATGCGTGTTCATATTAATAATGTAAAAAAGTGCTAAATAAGCTACAAGATTGCCTTCAAAAATAGGTTATTTTACTTCTTTAGCCACTTTTACATCACTGTTTAATAGATGTGACCGTTTCAAATCTGTAGCCAATGCTATAATTTGGAACTCTAAACCAGTTGTCCTTATAAGACCACTATATGAATTTATTCACTTATCATTGATATAGAAACTTAATGTGGAATATTTAAACCACAATTTACTCAGTCTTTCTGGGGTTTGTTTAAGCTTCCAGCCTGGGAGTCTCACTAGCATGGACAATTAAGTCAGCAATACATCTCTGAGGAAAAGCTTGGCCAGCCACACCAAAGGTTCAAAATTCCTTTACAGCTCAGCGCATTCTACTTCATAAACGTTACAGTTCGACAAGAAATAACCCAAAAGTCCCTTTATAGTCCTGTTTGGAACAACTTATGAAGAAACCCAGGGTGCAGACAAAAGAATTAAACATTTGACAAGTGAAAAGAACAGTGGTCATTTCTAAACTGTGAGGGGCAAACCATTGTGGAACTTCTCTTTTTCAAAAAGGTGCTGAAGAATGAATAAGCTGCTTTAAGTGCATTATCCTGTTATTCAGGTCAACACCATGCAAACTAGATCCATGGTTGTTTTTTTTTCTTTTTTAGAGTGTTCACACATCTTAAGAGATTAACATTTACTATCGACTATTTCATGGCTTTCAAAACAATTACTGAAAGCAAGTTCTATACTACAATCAAGTATGTCAAGCGGACATGATGATTGGGTACTTTTCCTCAATGACTTGAGTTTCTTTTGTTCCCAAGCTTGTTGTCAAAGCTTAAACTTTGTTTTGTTCTTTTAGAAATTGAATCTCTTTCAAAATATAACACTGCTTTTTTGTTGTGCTTCTTGTGCATATTAAATGATACTGAAAAAGTTGATGCGAGTTCAATTTTAGACACATTTGTGCAAAGTTTTAAAAATGTTATAAAACATATTTGGGCTTAGCAATGCAGCATGTTTAAGCTTTAAGGGAAAAAAAAGGTTTGCAAGAATAAAGGGCTTAATTGAGGTTCTGGTACTGGAAAGATCATATAGATCGACTTAGAATTAGCTGTGTAAAATAACAAAGAGTTCTTTGAAGCACCACCTGAACGTATTAAAACTGTAATGACCTTTGGGGTTTTAAGAAAAAGGCAAGTCGTTTAGACTATCTTACCAGTGCACACTCATAGTAAAGAGATCAATCAGCAAGCCATCGAAGTTCAAGCAAGGCTTGAGCTGTGCACCTGGCTCTAATTTAGCTGAAAAAACAGTGAGAAACAGAAAATTGCATGCTTATATGCTTCGTCAATAGGGAACAAACATGCTGAAATGTCATTTATTCTCAAATTTGGCACCAAGGACTTCCTTTGTAACAGATACTTATTTTAGGGAACAGCTTCATGGAAAATTGGAGGTGAAGGACCGAGAACTGCACGACACAGAGCCTTTCCACTCACGAGGACTTCAGTAGAGGGTGCCCAGGACCTCCCAGTGCCACCTGCAAAGAGCTTCGTGTACGGTCATGCTGCCGAGCAGCAACTCCCCCTGTGCCATTAAAAACTTCAGAGACCTCCAGTTCAGCAATGGGAAATGATTCGCATTAGAGCCATCGCTATAAAATTAAAGGACTGCATTTGGAGGGCACATCAGAAGCTTTGGGACAACGACGTGCCACATTCCAGAAACAAAAAACATTCCAGAGTATGATCGGTCTAACAGGGCACACAGTCATCAAGAAAAAAAAAGGGGAACTACTGCTGTCTTTACAATATTAGTATTTTCTTATGTTTATACCAGCACAAATGCTTTCTGTAGATTCCATCTCACCTAAGTTTCCACAGATGGGGAAAGGCCTGGTCAGCAAAGTGGAATTTTTCTGTTCTCCAGAAAAGTCTGACATTTCAACTTTTGGGGGACTCCAAAAGACTAAAATTTTACTCTATGTGAAACTTTTGCCAATAAAAGAGTTACCCAGTCAAAAACACAATTAAGTTTTGGGCTTAACTTCAGCTTCTATCAAAATTAATCACCCAGTAATCAATCTCCATTCATTTAGATTTCTAGTTTGCAAGCATTAACATGCTGAATCACAATTTTCCGTCCTGCAAGAACTGCTTACAGCTGCAAAGTGTTTTTTTATGGCACTAGGAAAAATGAGTGAGATTTCAATTCATATTAGACTAGGAAACCTTTTTTCTTTGACATAAGCTTAATTTGAAGTTTGAAATACAGGACAATGCCCTTAAAACACATGTAACAGATTCTATACTTCCAAATGCTACCTGCAAGTCAGATATGCCAAACCCTGCAAATAACACTGACATTAATTGAGTTTGAGGGTACAGAATACATTACAAAAGCAGGGTTCACAATTCGACAGCTTATTTTTTTTCTTTTTCTCCGAACTACACTGGCCTTGTTACAAACTTACTGACCTAAGAAGAGATCATGGCCCTTCAGACCTAAAGACCAGACTTTTGTCAACACATCTGCAAACAGCGAGGGGCCCCCTGCACAAGGAGAAAGAGGTCTCATCCTCTGTTTCGCCCCAAATGCAGGAAACCACATCTTTGGGAGGCTCAGCTAACACGTTCTCCGGACATGGCCAATGGAGAGAGACTGGCGTACACAGTATCTTCGCA